GCTCATTCTGGGTATGTTATTTCAACCCGGGACTCTCGTACCTGAAGCAGAATCATTACCCCCTAGACCAACACAGCACTCGTCTTGGTCCAACCCTCCCCCTTATTGTCTTTGTGTTAATTATCATATTTAGATTTCATCCTTTTATACACACTGTATTTTAGGCAATGATGTACTATACGTCTTGTAGGTCAATGAGTCAGCATTAACTAGACTGTTTTTAATGGGCGTTGATACGACTTGCCAACAGGATAGAAGGAAGAGGAGAGGGAAGATGGATGGGAGAGCTGAGGAGGGTGCAGAATGGAGAAAAGAGGGGGTGGGGGTGGTGATGGTCCTCTATCCCGGGTGTATTAATAGACACTGAGTGGCTTTTATCTAGGAAACAGTGGAGCAAACTGACCTGAGGGCAGAACATTTAACACAGACACACGCATGCATGTGTTCTCCCTGTCTTTTCTCTCTTTCACAGCCTTTATGCCATTAGAAAAGACCTTGAAGCACAAGGCTGTGGCCTACATTGAGGGCTCAGAAAGTACACCCTTAAAGTCTGCTAACAGGAGTGTTAGGATGACATACAGTTGTGTGTTGTTTTACCTCAGTGTGCGTGTGTGTGTGTGCGTGTCCAGCTGAGAGCAACACAGCTGACTTGTGAGTTATGAGTTGTGATGCTTTTTCATTAAAGTCATATACATGTGGGATCACTGGGTAATTTAAGGAACCCCCTGTGAGTATTTAATATATGGTAACATGCAGGTGGTGGTAAGTAAAGTCAGACTGACGCAAAGGCTCTCTGTTAGATCAGTGAGGTCCCCATCTGTCTGTGTGTGAGTGTGTCAGTAATTGTGGCTTGCTGATAATTGCATTCATGTTGAAACTGGAGCTACCTCTCAGTGCTGGCAGGATGTGGTGTGTTTTTGTGCCTGAGGTCATCCAGCAGGAGCTCTCTAATCCACCAGCCAGCAGGGATCTCTGATGTCTGCATGTGTCTCTGAGTGCCCGTAATCTGTTTTCAGCAGAGGAATCGCTGACATTTTGGCATTTTGTGTGCTTGTTTGTACGTGGATACATGACGTGCAGTCAGAGTTTTCTGAGGATGTGCTGCTGGCCTTTGGCTTTTGTTATATATTCGTGTGTGTGTAGGTGTGTATAGAAAGCAGATTTTGATGACGCTGTTATGTTTCTTTTAAGTTCCTGCTGAGGTCAAACGGAATTTTTAACTTTTCTCTTTAAATATTATTCCATGAAGTCAGTCACTGCGTGTTTATTTTTGGCAGTTTCATTTCTCCGTTTTAAAATTGAGAAATGAAAGCAAAGCCCGTAGCTGATTTACTAGGCATTGGGTTGGTGTTTGTAACAAAATAAATGCTTCTACTTCTCTAAAATGAATAAAATCCAGTAGTTTTATTTTTTTATAGCGTGAATCAATTGTTTATCATTTTTATGAAATGATATGAGGCCAATTTTTAACATCACCTTTCTATCCATATGTTTTCTTTATATGGCCACCAGCAGTTCCAAATTAAACCTAATTCAACATAATTTCAATTTTAAGTGGAGTTTCCAACAGAATTTACCGCTTCCAGTCCCTCTGTGATGGCACTTCCTCCGCTCTGCTTTCTGCAGCGTACAGTTCACTGGTGCACAAAGCCGGCCCGAGCTTGTGCAGTTTTTTAAATTGAAAGTTAATATCCACAAAATGCACAGAAGTTACAGGTCTTGCCCTTGCCTCCCAAAATACTTGGTAATAAAATAAGTGTTGTGTTTTCATATTATTGATTGTTTTCTCTTTGTGTTTTTGTATGCATGTTGAACATGTGTGGTGCTCTTGTATGCGTGTGGGTGCTTTGGTCCATGTGTATGTATGTGTCTGCTAGCTTCTGACCTCCAGCGGTGACGGCACATGTGCATTGTGGGATGTGGAGAGCGGGCAGCTGCTGCAGAGTTTCCATGGTCACACAGCTGATGTCTTGTCCCTGGACCTCGCCCCATCTGAGACTGGAAACACTTTTGTCTCTGGGGTGAGAGAGAGAGAGAGAGAGAGAGGGAGAGAGGGAGAGATAGTGTGTGTCTCTCTCTTGTTTGTAATTCATGTGGTTGTAGTAAAATCCTGTAACTCATGGCTCTCATTGGATTTAGAGTTTTCATGAGACACTGGATTTTTACTGGGCCGCAAAATTATTTAATTTCTCTAATGTGTGTGTGTGTGTGTGTGTGTGTGTGGGTGTGTGTGTGTGTTATCAGGAACGGGAGAGGAGAGGAAGAGATATGTCAAATTGAAATGCAACAAATGGGCATACTTTAACACACATAAAATAATGGTAATAGTGGTGTAAGAGTTATAATAAAGGTAATATTAAAGTATTACAGGGTAATAATTACTAAAAAATGGGGTAAAATCGGATGCAAAAATATTAGATTGATTATTTAGATTAGTTTAATTTAGCAGGTAAACTAGGTAAAATAAAGGTTAGATGGGAAACACACACTTCCTAAAATAGGCGCAAAAAACATAAATGGTTTATGGTAATGGTGACATCAATGGGTAATAACCTGATAATAATGAGGTATTTAGCGTAAGATTTTAAAATATTAGTAAAATTCTTGGGAATAAATTAACATTACCGATTCAAATTAATTATAAATAATATCTTTCTATTTATAAGTTCGGTAAGAAAAGAGAAAGGGAGAGATGTGTTCATCAATCTCGAAACACGTAAAGGAACATTTGTTGGTGCATGGTATTTGTTTATTGTATCATCTAATTTTAAATGTGCAAAACCTCAGATTTGTTTTGTAGAAAAATATTCTTCTTTACTTTTCTCATCCATTCATAAATGTGGTTGGGAAACAAGCATCTTTTTTTTTTGCAAGTTTGAAGTGTTAATAATATGTTCACGGTAGTATTGAAAGAGTCTGTTTGGGCTGACTAAGGTGAGAATTTAATAGAACAGGTTAAGCACTATTACCATGTTTTAATACTGAGCTATAATGTAAATGCCTACACCCATAATATTGCTTAAGAATTTGACCTAAATATAACCGAATGCAATAAATCCCAAAACTACACAAAAAGCTACTTTCGCGACCAGATACGATGCCAGATTTCATGGTGAATGATCCTAAAGTAAGGGCCCCGCCCCTACAGTCTCTCATTTATTAGACAAAAAATGAAGGGTACAAGAACTGCCTCCAGATGTGATATGACCATGTCCATGGTCACTCTCGTCTTCGTCAGTGCACGTTTTCCATATTCACTCTCCTCGCCGGCTCCGGAACCGCTTCGCCAAACAATGGTGACTTTTGTTTTACCAAAAGAACTGGATCCACTTTACGCCGTTGGTGTCAGACTTTCATGGCTTCCAAAGACTGGAATGTTCTGATCAGAGCGCATGTTCCCACGTTGGCCTTTCCTTATCACTGCC